AGTGAATACCCAGGACTGATCTCCTTTAGGAGGGACTGGTTGGATCTCCTTGAAGAAGAGTCTTCTCAACACCACAGTTCAAAGGCATCAATTCTTTGGTGCTCAGCTTTCTTTCTAGTCCAACTCTCACATCCATACATGACTGCTGGAAAAACCATAGCCTTGACTAGATGGACCTTTGTTGGCAAAGTAATGTCTCTGCTTTTTAATATGCTGTCTAGGTTGGTCATAACTTTCCTTCCAAGGAGTAAGCGTCTTTTAATTTCATGGCTGCCATCACCATCTGCAGTGATTTTGGATCCCAAAAAAATAAGGTCTGACACTCTTTCCACTGTTTCCCCATCTATTTGCCATGAAGTGATGGGACCAGATGCCATGATCTTAGTTTTCTGAATGTTGAGCTTTAAGCCAACTTTTTCACTCTCCTCTTTCACTTTCATTAAGAGGCTTTTTAGTTCCTCTTTACTTTCTGCCATAAGGGTGGTGTCATCTGCATATCTGAGGTTATTGATATTTCTCCCGGCAATCTTGATTCCAGCTTGTGCTTCTTCCAGCCCAGCGTTTCTCGATGTACTCTGCATATAAATTAAGTAAGCAGGGTGACAGTATACAGCCTTGATGTACTCCTTTTCCTATTTGGAACCAGTCTGTTGTTCCATGTCTAGTTTTAACTGTTGCTTCCTGACCTGCATGTAGGTTTCTCAAGAGGTGGGTCAGGTGGTCTGGTATTCCTATCCCTTTCAGAATTTTCCACAGTTTATTGTGATCCACACAGTCAAAGGCTTTGGCATAGTCAATAAAGCAGAAATAGATGTTTTTCTGGAACTCTCTTGCTTTTTCAATGATGCAGCGGATGTTGGCAATTTGATCTCGGGTTCCTCTGCCTTTTTTTGGCTTACATGTGTTAAAATATTCTTTTGTAAACTGCATTTTTTTTCTATGTTAATAGCTAGTAGTTCCACGGTCACTAACCAGATAGCCCTACCTTTTCTCATTGACAGCAAAACCACTTCCTTTACACATCATGTTTCCGTATGTGTTTGAGTCTTCTTTTCTGGGTTTAAAGTTTTGTTCCATTGGTCTATATAAGGTGAAGACATCTTAATAACTATCTTTCTGTTAAGTCTTGGTAACTGGTAGAGTAAGTCTCCTCACCTCAGTCACTGTTGGGATCCTCTTGGCTATTTTATACTCCTTGTTCTTACATATAGATTTTGGAATCAGCCTGTCAGATTTCACCAAAAAGTCTGTTGGATTTTTTATTTGAGTTACATTGAATCTATAGATCAGCTAGGGGAGAAGTTGCATCTTTACAATATTAAATCTTCCCAACTGTGAACAAAGTATATAGCCTGCTATTTATTTAGAGTCTTTTTATGACTCTTAACAAGTCTTAAAATTTTCTCCATGAAGATTTGCTCGATTTACTCCTGGGCTATTATTTGTTTTTGTTACTCTCAAAAATGGCACATTTAAAAACATTATATGTACTATTACTGGTATGCAGCAATATAACAGATTTTATATATTAGTTTTTGTGTCTGATGCTTAATCTCCTCTTGGGATGTATCAGATCCTAAGGAAACTTAAGAAAAAGTCTGTGGTATGTGAATTTTCTGAGGTCTCAATGGCACATATACTTAAGACCAGGAAGAATGTGGGTTTCCATTCCTGTGTCTCCTTGTCCACTTCGAATAGTACTAGATTTGTGAATTTGTTAGAATTTAGTAATATTCCAGGCTGATTATTCTTTCTAATGTTGTAATTATTCATCTTTTCTGGGGAAGTGATGTATTGTACCAAGTGACTGTCTCACAGGTAGAGCTTTTGTTGTTGCCTCCTAGGTACCCCCAGACAGATCTGGGGGCCAGAGGCCGGCTTTGTCACATGATTGTTGTTCATCGTTTCAGTCTCTTGGACTGTCCTTCCTGCTCACTCTCCCTCCCCTGCTCTCCTAGTCTCCTTTTCTGACTCTCTTCTCTCTTTATGGCTTCATCACCCCCCCCCATTTTCCTCATTTTATCCAGAACATGAAATATAAGTCACATAATGATGTTTACTTCATAAGTTTAGGAATTATAGCATCTAGACATGTTGAGCAGGAGGATTTATGTGAATTATTTACAGAATAGAAATGTCATAGGTATAATCATATTTTAACACTCCTTGATCTGTGTTTTAGAAACTGGTTCAAGTTTTTGTATAAGGCTGTGAGACTTCCCATGCTCCCATAGTCATTGGAAAGAAAAGAAATACGTTTATATGAGATTTATCTTATTTCATAGCAATTGGAAACCAAATCTGCATACTTGGTAAACACCTTCTTTTAAAGTGAAATCACTGGTGTTTAGCAAAGAATACATTGAGCTGGATGAGACTATGTGGCAAACCAGCTTAAATTTCACATGAGCTGTGACTTTGCCAACACCTTCAGTATCTATTCATTTTTTTATAATAGATTTGCTTTTATGCAAGTATCTATCAAAATGCTTCATTTTTTCTTCATGAACTCTGATTTAACTAAACTGTAAAATTAAACCACATTTCCTCATTTGAAATTGCTAAACTTCCTCCTCTGGACTTTCCAATGATGAACTGTGGGAGAATAGTCAGAATGAATAAGCAAAGAGGTTATTGAATAAGTCTTTAAAAGGGTGTGTCTAAAACATGAGCAGCTAATCTGAAGAGGAAGGGCTTGCCGGTTTATAGTGGTGGTGAGATGCCAGTCTGTGGATTTCCAGTATTGCCAAATTTATCTAATGCAAATGTCCTAGAGATGAGAACCATGTGCTTAACTGCAGAATTATTTAAAACTGCAATCATTGCTCCCTAACAGACCCATGAAGGCATAATTTTTATTATTTCCTTCAAATCTGTGTATCATGATTACATTATAAGCTGGTTATAACTGTGCTAATAAGTATTGTTTAATGTATATTGCATATATGTAGTTCAGTGGTTCTCAGTTCTGGCTGCCCATTAGAATAACAAAGTGAACTTAAAAACACATACAGGAGAGAGTCGGACCTTCACCAACTCAAAAAAAATCTGAATATTTGGGGGCAGGATTTGGGCATCCATGTTCTTTTAAAATTTCCCCTGATGATTCTAACACAACCAGCCTTGAGAACCACTGATTTAATGGAATAAGCATATATCAATTGTTGTAATCTGCACTTATTGAAGACTTTTTTCCTCTTTATTATAGTGATTTAAAAATAGGTGTGCTTTTGCAAGGAAATTGGATTTTCTTAGCAAGATTCTTATAAAGCAGTTTCTTATCTTAGTTAAAACCTTTTAAGTGTACTTTTAAGAAAGTCCCAGCATCCTTATAATCTGGAAAGAAAAAAAAAATACTTTGCAAAATATTGACACATTCCATTCCAGGAGTTTTGAGTCATATGCAGGATGAAAAATAACTCACAGAAATTCTCTTTAGATGTCTGCAAAATCTACCTTAAAGGATTTTTCAGTAATTACCCATTTTCCTATTGTAAGTATGATAGAGGAAACAGTTCATTCTGTTTACCTTTTCTTTGCTACTCAGCAGTAAGCTAACTGAATCATACTATTATTCTGAGAGACCAAGTGATTATTTTTTTAATCATTGAGAAGTGTTTCTGATACCTCACTAGACATTGAAAGTTGTATGTACACATATATAAGCAACACTTGCCCCTCCCTTTCCCGTGTCTGCAGAAAATCCATGCAGTTTCTTTCTTTGAAGAGTTGGGAAGAGAGAGCACAGGATGATTCCTGGATTCTCAGTGAACCCGCTCTTTGCCTCTCTAAATGTTTTCCACTGCCAGCTCCAGTTGCAGGGATTGAGCTCACCAATTATCCTGATTTTGTATCTTGATTTTTCCTTTTTAATCAGGAATACAGGCTGAAATTTGCTCTGATTTATAGGGTATTTTGCATATTTTTTCCTGAATATTGGTATTTGTGATAATCAATATGATATTTTAAGATCTAAAAACACTATTCTTGTGTGGGGAAGATGAGTCAAGTTTAAGCAATTTATTTAGAGGAAATTGGGGAAATATGTATTTCTCTCTGATTAATGATGATAATTATCAATGATGTTTCTAACCAGTGTTTAAATCCTTTAACTGTAGAATTCAGAGGAATATCCTAAAATTTTAGAAGAAAGGTGATGATCAGTTAACTTACAAGTTAAATGTTTTGCATAAACAATCTTTATATCTGTTGTTGAAGATGGCCTTCATACAGAAAAGTATACAGATCACAGTGCACAGCTCAGTTAATTTTCACAAAGTGAGGCACCTCCATGAAACCAGCACTCAGAGCAGGAAGGAGAACATTAATAGAACCCCAAAGATCCCCTTCGAACTTCTTTTCAGCTGTCATTCATCTAGCACCATAGATTCTTTTTGACAGTTTTTGAAACTTGTGTATAAATTAAATCATACAGTTTGTGCCTTTTTGGGGAGGAGTGAAAATATAAGTTTCCTTTACTCAATTATTTATGTATGTATGTACGTTAGAGCAAGTTAATTAATTCTTATTATTATATAACATTCCATTGTTTGAATATATCATGATTTATTAGTTCTTTGCTTGATGAATATTTTGCGTTTCCAGTTTTGGCTATTATGAGTCATAGTGCTGTATATGTCATATGTGTCATTTGCCAAACTATGTATGTACTTCTGATGAGATATAAGTACACAGACAATTGTTGAGTCATATATATACAGCTTTAGTAGATTCTGCTAGTTTTGTCCAATGTACACTTCCATTAGCAAGATTTCCTTCCGTGAGATACTTGCTAATCACTACTTTCCTCTTCCTTAGAGATCATTACTAATCTGATCTCCATAAAATAGATTAGCTTTGCCTGTTTTTAAGCTCTATATAATGGAATTATCAGTGTTCTTTTGTATTTGGCTTTTAAACTCTAATGCAGGTATGTTTTTGTTAGATATGTTTCTAAACATCTCCTTCTAGATATTAACTTGTGATTATTTCTGTTTTAGGTGTTTTAGAAAACAATTATGAGTGCTTACGTGTACTAAATGTTGAAAGAAACAGAAATATTATTTATACCTGTAAGGTAAGTCTATATTAATTTTTAAATTGTGGTAGAATATACATAACATGAGGAGGGCATGGCAATCCACTCCAGTATTCCTGCCTGGAGAATCCCCATGGATAAGGGAGCAAAGCATTCATGGGATCACAAAGCATTGAACATAGAGCAGCTAAGCACACATACACATACTTAACATAAAATTTACTCTTTAACCATTTATATTCATTTTTTCAACAGAGTTTTATGCTTTATCTTTTTAAGGTGTAGTGAATAAGACTTGTTGGCATTTAATCTTTAACATATGACTTTTTAAAAATTTTGTGAGATTGAATAGGGTAATTGAAATTCAGTCTTATGTAATATTTTTCCTTTTTTTAAATAAAACTATACCCAATGTCTGATACAGTGCTCAAAGGTTTTGAATAAATGAACAGTTTCATCCTCTAGAGGAAAAATGCCAAATAAGAGATATTTAAACTTAATCAATATGGTAAGTTTTTATCTTTGAGAAAACATTAAATATTATTACTGTACATCATCTGTTCGGATTTTGGTATACTCAGAGTTTTGAGGCATTATTATTTAACAGTGTGTTTTCAATGTTAACTGTTCTAAGGAAAGAAAATTTAACTTTGTGGATAACTTTACTGTAATAGTGAAACATTAAAGAATAATTGCAGTGGCCAGTTTGCTTTGCAAGTTGTATTACTGTTTTTGCTTTAAAAAAGTTATTTTAAGTTGTATCCATGAGGATGCTACATTCAAGGAATTCTATGATTCACAAAGTTTTAGGTGGTTGTTCAGTCCTTTAGTCATGTCTGACTCTTTGCCAAGCTTCCCTGTCTTTTACCATCTCCTGGAGTTTGCTCAAACTCATGTCCATTGAGTCGATGATGCCATCCAACCATCTCATCCTCTGCCATCCCCTTCTCTTCTTGCCTTCAGTCTTTCCCAGCATCAGGGTCTTTTCTAATAAGTCAGTTCTTCTCATCAGGTGGCCAAAGTATTGGAGCTTCAGCTTCAACATCAGTCCTTCCAGTGAATATTCAGGGTTGATTTCTTTCAGGATTGACTGGTTTGATCTCCTTTCAGTCCAACGGACTCTCAAGAGTCTTCTCCAGCACCACAGTTTGAAGGCATCAGTTCTTTGGTGCTCAGCCTTTTTTATTGTCCAGCTCTCACATCTGTACATGACAACGGGAAAAACCATAGCTTTGACTGTGTGGACCTTTGTCAGCAAAGTGATGTCTCTGCTTTTTAATACACTGTCTAAACTTGTTATAGCTTTTCTTCCAAGGAGCAAGCATCCTTTTATTTCATCGCTGCAGTCACCATCCACAGTGATTTTGGAGCCCAAGAAAATCAAGTCTGTCACTGCTTCCATTGTTTCGCCATCTATTTGCCAAGAAGTTTTACTTATAAGACTATCATGGACTCATTCTACCTACTTTCAGTATCCATCGTTCATATTCTTTTACAGAAATAAATGGAAGTAGAAACAGATTTGCTCCTTCACTCTGCTGTGTCCTATAGACAGGCTCCCTCAGACCCCCTGAGCTGTATGCTCTCGGTCCCTTTCACCGCTCGACCTGTGCTGCCGTCCGAATCGTGTTCAGTCCTCTGACACGCACAGCGGGCTACCTTTAGAGTGCTTATTGCCCATATGTTTGAATTATTGCAGATTTCTTTTAAAACTAGTAAATTCCTAAACAATGACCTTTAATAAACATCTAGTTTATTTTTTCCTTTCAGGACGATGAGGGAAATGTCTTCTTTGGATTGTATGATTACCAAACCAAACAAAATGAGGTAAAAATCACCATAAATTATACTTTAGTTATCAGTTACTCTACTGCTTTTAGTTTCCCTTTTTTAAGACACAAATTTATTTTATATTTCTTTGTCTTCCTTCTCTTTTCCTTTCATACTATCTTTAAAAAAAAAAAAGTGTGAGGACTCCTGCACCAAATGTCAACTGTAGTCTTTTAGTCCTTTGAGATTTAAGCTGAATAGGCTCAAACCAATTATCCAATATTCTGTAGGAATGTAGGAAGTCCAGTGGCCTCCCTACGATGTGTGTTTCCCAGAAGCTTAGGATGTCAGAATGACCTCTGACTCTGAGTTCTGCTTCTACAGAACTTCACTGATCTTCTCGTTACTTCTCAAAGATCCAGTTATAGAACCAGCCTCTTTTTCTTAATCTTTCCCCAGACAACTCACATAAGACATTGGTTAATGTGACAGCCTTGTCTAAGTCTTGAGGCAAATGGGAGGGGGTCCCTTTGTGTCTATATAAAAATAATTTGTAAGTATCAAGAGACTGAGAAGTCTATAAATGTACATTGTCACAGAGTCATTCCAAAACACATTATTACATGAAAAAGCAAGTTGCTAGAATAACGCATTCCATTTATGTTTTAAAAAAACTTGCAAGAAAATGACATAATTTGTATGTGTGTAAATATATTTAAAAATTCATTTTGAATGATCCAAAAGACTACAGAATAAATTACAAAATGTTTCTTTTTCAAAAGGGGTTGGGATAGGGTGAATATAATGGAGAACTTAGACTTTTTATTTGGTAGTGTTTGCATGTTTTAAACACTTATTAGACTTTGTGTGTTATTATGTAATTAAAAAGAAAGAAGCAGTTACAATTAAGTATATACATTCATGCCTCTTCTTACTTATAAATAAGGATCCCTCAGAGCAAGAATAGAGGAAACCCTAATTTGTCACATGAATTCAGAGCCTTCTTATTAACTCAAAGTTTACTTTTCCTGACTTCTCGACATTTTTTTATCAACTTTTGGCCATTGCATTCTAGTATGTTTTCAGTGCTTTTTTAGTCTGCAAATACTATTTACCTTCTTAATAGTTCTGCTGGTCACTGTTTCTCTTAACTTGTTCTCTCCTGAAGTCTAACATTCTGTCTTTCCTTATACCCTGAATATGTTTTAAAAGAGTTTGCTTAATATAACTGTGATTGTCTCCATTTCCTCAGTCTGCACCTCACATCCTCCTTCTACATGACCATCTTAATTTTCTTTGATATTCCAGGAAATAGAATCTTGGAACATCTAAACAGCAAGAAAATAAAATACAGGTTAAATAAAAATAGCAGATTACTTTGCCAGTATTCTAAAAATGGGCATCCTTTAGGAAATGCACTTGTGACAGTCTCTTAGACATAGTTAATGATGTCATAGTTATATAATTTGATTAAAATGTTAACTTGCCTTCATAATCCTAATTGCTCACCATTGAGTGCTTATTATGTGTAGCAGACATTGTAGTAAGTATTCTCACATGAATTATTTAACTTAGCACTTGAAAGGATCTCCCAAGATAGGTAGTAACATGATTCCTGTTTTGCTGATGGGAGGATAGAATGGCTGAGCAACTCATCCAAAGTCACAGCTGGCAAGTGACAGAATTAGGGTTTGAACCTGGGTCCAGCTTGACCTCAAGGTCTGTGATTTTAGCCACTGCCCTGTGTTGTCTCATGGTTAAAGTTCAGTGCCAAACATGGCCTACAATAGCAAACTTTTTTCTTAAAAAATAATCTGAAACTTCTTAGTATAGATAAACTGGTTCATTGGTGGTCTAATAAGATGCTTGCCACAGTGATACTTGCTAAAAAGCTGAGTGGGGATTTGCATTCATAAAATTGTTGTTTAACATGAAACTCCAAATTAAAAAATATTTCTCTTTTAATAGCATCTCTATACATTTGAGAAAGATTTGCAAGTTGTCAGTTGCTCAGTCAACAGGGAGAAAACTTTGCTGGGTAAGTTGAACTCTTTTATTGCTACAGGTCGAGAACTAAGCTATATTTTTTGAGTTTCAAAGTATTGAATTTTTACAATAGTTGATTATTCTGGGAAAAGATGTACTTTCGAGATAAGATTTGAAATAAAGAATCTGTAGAGTCTACCTACAATAAAGAGTGCTTTGTATTTTACTTTAATTATCCACTGACAGATCCTTTAAGCCCTCCCTTATTCTGGGTATTCTCTGGTAAACTTTAACAAGCCACTGCATAGATCATTTGCTAATGGATTTTTTTTTTCTTTTTCCATTAGCTACAAGTTTAGTTCAAGCTGCTAAAGAAGGAAAGAGTAATGAGCTTCAACCAGGTAATGACATTACAGTTTTTAGTACTTGTTGATAGATGAAGATTTATTGAACTACTAAGTCAAACTGCAAGCATATTTGCAAATAGGTTTATCTCAGAATAAAAAGGCAAAGGTCATGTCAGGCATGTTCTTTGCATTTTTTCCAAGTAAACAAGAACTTACAGAAAATAATATGACAGTGAGTAACAGAAATATTAAAAAAGGCAATTACCACCTGCAGACTAAACAGGTGCTACAGGCAGAAAGAAGCTGGTCCCAAAGGTCGGGAAGAGGTTAGTATTTGAGCCCAGATAGTTTGAGGGATGATCCTAGGAAACTTCATTAAAGGAGTTTTTAAACAGAGACCTGAAAGGAGAGGGGCAGCAAGCATGCGTCTGTGCAATGCAAGAGACCCTGGTTTGATCCCTGGGTCAGGAAGATCCCCTGGAGGAGGGTATGGCAAGCTACTCTTGCCTAGAGAATCCCATGGACAAAGGAGCCTGGCAGGCTGCAGTCCATAGGGTCCCCCAGAGTTGGACACCGCTGAAGCAATTGAGCAGCAGCGGCAAGGGGAAGCACATTTCCGGCAGAAGGAACAGCCAGCATGAAGGCCGGGAGGCTGGAGTGCTTGGTAGACTCTGGCTGTTCCAGGATAGTGAGGTCAGTGAGGCTGGACTGGAGCGCACAAGGGCAGAGTGGTGGGAAATAAGGCCAGCAGGAAATGAACGTGAGTTGCAGACAGATCATGGGAGCTCTTTGGAGGTCTTTTGTTCAGCTACAATTTCAGAAATTATGTGACCAGAAAGTACTATAGGATCTGTTTTAAAGGTTAGTCCTTTGAACAAATATTATGCAAATATTTTGCCTTTTGCTGAAGGCTAAGTTTTTGTTTGTGAATAACTTGATAAGCCAGTTGATTATAAAATGTAGTTTGCCTCAAGGTGTTAACACTGTGTTGCTTATCATGAGGTTCTTCCATTGCAAATGAGACAGACTATAATGTATCTTATATAAGCAATATAGGGTTCCTTGGTCTACAAACTTTACGACAAAATTTTTGTCAGCAGTGCACCTCTTCTTGGCCGAGGCCATGCAAACTTGTTTTATTCAGGAAATGGTCTTCCATAGGAAGCCAGGCACGGCTGCCCCTTTCACCCTTCCTGGAGGTATTATATTTTCCCTAAGGCATAGCAGGTCCCTGTGGGCAGCGTCTTGGGCCCCATTGCTGCTCCAGGACCCCAGGAGCCTTTGTAGTCAGTAAGTGCTGCAGATGCTCCATGGAGCTGCTTTGATTCAGAAGTTCTAATAACCAGAGCTTCTAAACAACTAGACTTGACTGAGCTCTTCCAACCTTTTCGCTATTTCACATTATGTACCTTTACCTGCATCAGACCAGGTTCTTTCTTTTTCTCACTCTTCACCCTCCCTGTGCCATGCCTATCCTTGTGCCTTTTTTTTTTTTCTAATTTAAATTCGATTTAAACAAAGCAAAAATATTCACTCATTTCTCCCCTCACCGCCTACCCCCTGCCTCCTGCAACCACCAATCTGTTCTCTGTGTCTATAAACCTGGTTTGGGGGCTGATTTGACTTGGTTTTTAGGTTCCACATATAAAAGAGATCATATGGTTTTTGTCTTTTATTTTAGTTGATTTACTATATTGTGTTAGTTTCTGGTGTACAGAAAAGTGATTCAGTTATGCACATATGTATTTTTTTTTCAGATTCTTTTCTATTATGGGTTATTACAAGGTATTGAATATAGTTCCCTATGCTCAACACTAAAAACTTGTTATCTGTTTTATATATAGTAGTGTGTATCTGTTAATGCCAGCTCCTAATTTATCCTTCCCTAACCCTTTGGCAAAGTTTGTTTCCTATGTCTGTGAGTCTGTTTCTGTTATGTAAATAAGTTCATTGGTATAATTTCTTTTTTTTTTTAGATTCCACATATAAATGATACCTTGATATTTGTCCTTCGCTGACTTAACTTCCTTAGGTCCATCCATGTTGCTGCAAATGGCATCATTCCGTTCTCAGTATGACTGACTTCACTTAGCGTAATGCCTTGAGCCCTCCATGCTGTCCCTTTTGGTCCGGCTGCTCTACTCTCTGCAGCATCGGCGTCCTGCCGGGTCGTCTTGCCTTTCAGTGATGTTCTCCCAGGCTCCGTTGATACCTGGATTCTCTGAATTCTTAAGACAACTTTAAGCACTTCATGGAATCACTGTGGATTTTAGGGCTGAAAGTAATTGTAGAAATGGTCTGATTCTGTAGTTCTTTATTTTTTAAATAACAAAACACTGGTAATTCCCTGGCAGTCCAGTCGTTAGGACTTGGCTCTTTCATTGCTGGGGCCCGGGTTCATTCCCTGATTGGGAAACTAAGATACTGCAAGCTGCACTCAGTGTGGTCAAAGAAAAGCAAAAATAAATTAAAAACAGAGCACGAAGACCTAGGAAATCTTTGTGTTTTATTTAAGTATAAATATCAGGTTAGTGACAGATTTTAAACTAGAATTGATATCTCTAGAATCCTATTCCAGAGTGCTTCCTGTTACACTATGAAAGCACATGGTATGTTATTGAGAGACATTTCTGTTTTCCCAATTACTCTTTTCATTAAGCTACTTATATTAAGTATCTGGGCTGCCCTAAAGAAATGAAAAATTAGTGTAGGAAGATGAATTCTGCCCTGCCCTTGATAAGCCTCCCATTTTAAAGGTAAGTGAATTTAGCTGATAATCTCACCTGGGAACAGATTCATTGACAAAAAAGTTGAATATAGGTGATTTGTTATTTTTCCAATGAGAAGATTCCCCCACCTGCCCCTAAAAAGCTTTTTCCCCTAGTTGGAATGTATAAACTTTTTGGGCAGGAGATGAAGTAGTCAAATATCAACTTGTATTATTTACTGTATTAAATTAGTTATATATATTTAAAACAAGACAATGAGGAAAATTGCTTTTTTTTTGTCATTCCCACATTTCACAGTCTATTTTTTTTCACAAGTATCTTTGACATCAATATTTCTTATTCTTAGAGCCATTTTTTGAGTCATCAAGCAGACTCCCAAAGCATCTCACTTTATCTTGTTTCAGTTATTAGAAGTATATAGCCCTTTTGAATCATGAATGACCTGTCACTGAAATTTTTATTCTGAGTACCCATTGACCAAACATTTGCTTTTGATTTTTTTTTGTTGTTGTGTATTTGTGATCCCACATAATAACTCACTCACTGTTTTGCTTTCAGTAAACTCTAAAAGGTATTTTTATAGAAATATCCAGTTCTTTAAAATGTGAGGCAATATCCCAGAAAATATTTTATATTCTTTACATTTTTTTTTTCTTGACATAAGGCAATACTGTTAGGTTGCTTTCTTAAATAGTGAAAACTGGCATTGATTCAATTCCAGGCTGCTGTGCCATCCCCAAATTGTAAATTATTACTCAAAATAAAGTTATTGAGAAATCTTATGAGAATATTAGAGCTGTTATAAGAACTCAAATATAAGGCAACTCCTTTTCTGAGGAGGGAAACTCTTGGTCTAAATTTGAATATCTGTGGTAACCCCATTCTAGCCTGTGTCCAAAACTTCCTCCTAATGACTATCTTTAATGACATTTGCTCAGATGTGACACTAAGGAAATAAATGAGTCTTAATCCATGCAGCTCCACCCTTCCTGAGGGAAGCCTAGTCCCTGCCCTAGTTGCTGTCAACCCTAACACATTCATTCATTAGAAATCTTTATGTTTTCCTACACAAACAGTATTTGCCGTTGTGCTGCAGAATTGTAGTGACACTGAACTGAGATGTATTTGTTTAGACTTAAAAGCTGAGAGGGCCCCTGAAGTGATGTAAAAATAGCTGAGAAATGGGTAGGAACTGGTTTCTCACTCCATGTACATTGACTTCTCCTTTATGATGTTTTTTGTATCTATTTGCGGTTTTAAGAAGTCTCAATGTTAAGATAACTGCTTTTGTTTGTGGAGTAACTAATACAGTAAGTAATGCATTTTACATTTTCAAAGTTCAGGCCTATGTGGAAGAGTAATGTGTAATGGACTCTGCTGCTATTAAAAGCATCCTTTACTTTATAGGATCAAAGTGCTTAACTCTGTTGGTTGAGATCCATCCCATTAACAATGTGAAGGTTCTAAAAGCAGTGGATAGCTATATTTGGGTACAGGTAAGTGAGCATATCTTTATCACTTATCTCTTTAATCAAAAGGCATGAAACCTAGAGACAGTGGTGTTAAAAGTGTTTTCATACACATTATCACATTTAATCCTCAGAATAATCCAGTGAATGGGTATGGCTGGAATGAACACCTCTTCCCTCGCAAACATGGAAATCAAAATTCAAACCTAGCTCTCTGTCTCTATTACATCATGGTTGTTTGATATAATAGATGTTTTTACATAATGAAATATTGAATATCAAAACACATTGAAAGGAACTTTAAAAATGGCTTATCTAATGTTTCATAGAGTTGACAGGTTAAAACCTGTGTTTAAATGACATAATTAATCCCTGAATTTCTCAACTCCATGCACTGATGCAGAAGCACTGTGTATATAACACAAACAGACTTAGATATAGTCAATCCTCATTACTTACACATAGAATTTTCAAATTCTGCTACCCACTAAAATTCATTTGCAACCCCAAAATCAGTTGTCGGTAGACATGTGAAAATTTGTCACCCAATGTACATGTTCCCAGCTGAGGTAGAACAAGGTGACCCTGCCTTTCAGATTCAGGTCTCAGACTGTAAACAAACATTGTTTTCATAGTCAACTTAATGCCATGTTTTTCACACTCTCTGGCAGTTGATTTCATGCTTGACGTGTCCTCCAAGTGTATTGCTGAAGTAGTGTTTCACGTTTCTAAGTGCAAAAAGACTGCTATATACTTTACAGAGGAAATCTGTGTGTTCATTAGATCAACTTCATTTAGGAATTAGTTTATAGGGCAGCTGACTGAGTTCACTGCTAGCGAGTCAACAGTATCTTTAGTCGTGGCACACAAGATCTTTTGATCACTGATGCAGCATATGGAATCTTTTTAGCGTGCACACTCTTAGTTGCGACATATGGGACCTGGTTCCCTGACCAGGGATCAAACCTGGTCCCCCTACAATGGGAGCGCGGAGTCATAGCCACTGGACCGCCAGGGAAGTCCCACAATGTCTTTAAATAGGGACACACATTAGACCAAGTTTTGTTCTATTTTGTTGACAAAAATGTTGTAGCTAGAGGCGCATAGGCGCTTTTATCACTATTTCCCTTGGGAACAGTTGTTCTGAGTTCGGTGTTTGTGGTGACCTCATGGAACCTAGGACTTCCATGGTGGCTTAGAAAGTAAAGAATCTGCCTGCGATACAGGAGAGTCGGGCTTGATCCCTGGGTTGGGAAGATTCCCTGGAGAAGGGCATGGCTACCCACTCCAGTATTCTTGTCTGGATAATGTCATGGACAGAGGAGTCTAGCGGACTACAGTCCATGGAGTCACAAAAGAATTGAAAATGATTGGAGTCTAGCGGACTACAGTCCATGGACTCACAAAAGAATTGAAAATGATTAAGCACTGATGCAGGCACGTATGGATTGTAACTATCACTGAGAACAAGAGTCAACTGCCCGTGTTCCTGCTGGGCTGCATGAACAATTACCTTGTGTAGCCTCCCCCTACCTATCTGCTCTCAGCCTCTGACCTTGGGTCTCCCTCTGGCAGTGTGTGTTGGGAGAACGGGTTGTCTCTCATGTGCCTGATTGTCCACTGTCAGCCAGCCCTTCCAGTTGTGCATTTCACCACTACTCCTGGCTTCTCTCTGGGCCGCTGCTTGCTGCCAGGCAGGGCCTGGCCTGGAACTGCTAAGCTACATTCCCTCCCCCAGGAATCCACTCTGTTTATTTACACTGTCCTCAGTGCAGGGGTGACTGTGGGACACTTCCCTTTTCTGGCATGTTCTTTTGGTTTCCTTACCATTTTTATCCAGGGCTGTGTAGGCAATGATGATGTTACTGAAGGATGGGTAATCAGAGTGTAGGAAGGAAAAAGGTTTTACAAATATATAGTTGCATAACACTCTGAATATATTTAAAAAATACTGAATTGTATTATTAATAGTGAAAACTGTGAATAGTGAATGTTGTTATGTGCATTTTATCTTAATTGAAAAAATTAAAAATGCAAGGTGCATGATTGCACCCCTACCCATGTGAAGTAGACCCACACTCATCCTGGTCCATCCAGGTCCAAGCCCTGCTCCCTGCTCTCATGCTCAGGCCTCTGAAGAAAGAAACTTCTCCAAGCCTCCACCCGTGGCAAATCCCCACCTTCACCCTCTCTTCATTCTGCTCTCCTTTAGAGAAGCACCATTCATTGTCCACAAAACTTGGCCCTACCCTGTGATCTATTTCCTTTTTCTTTCCATAACATCCATGATGATTTCCACTAGTACATTTTCCCTCTACCTGTGCAGGCTTCGTGAAGAAACTTCTTTAGGACAGTAGTGAGTGGAGTCCGGATCTCAATCTGGGACCGTTGTAGAGTTCCCCACCGGCATGCACCTTCCAGATAGTTTATTGGATAATTACACACATATCCGTGTCCACATGCCTATAGTATGTACGTTCTGTCAGTGAATATTAATGATCACAATCTAGCTCGATATATTTTTTTAAAAATTATTTTACTAATATAGTCTATATAGATTCCTACCCACAAAGCAAACAGAACAAAATCTCCAAAATCGTCGCATGCTTTTGTAGAGCTGTGTCTGAAGCCTGTCTTACGTATATTCTCACTTGTAGGCCTTACTCCAGGGTTGCCTCAAATTAGAAAGAAAAACAACCACCTGAATGGAACTTTTAAAATCGTGGTTGCCTCACAGAGACCAGGCAAAGGTTTAGAACTGGTCTTCACCTTAGTCTAGGTCACAGCCATAAGCCAGCGGGCCCTGGTCACCTCTGGAGACCCAGGGGACACCAAACCTGTAGTTTCTCCTTATTTTGAGGCATTGAGTATTTGCTCTTCCATTGTCTGTGCGGTTTCACTCATCATTGCTTCTCCGCAACTCCAGTGCACAAAGTATCCTTTTTGATGTACACAGTTTCACAAATCAGCAGAAATAGGCTCTGTATCCTTCTCATAGGGGAATTCTGCGTTGCTCTCTATTTTACAGTTTGGGGTTTGTTGCTGAGAAGAGTGCATGTGCGTGTGTGTGTGTCAGCTGCTCAGTCGAGTCCGACTCTGTACCCCAAGGCCTGTAGCCCGCCGGGCTCCGAGGCTCATGGGCTTATCCCCAAGCAAGAACACTGGAGTGAGTTGCCATTTCCTCCTCCAGAAGATCTTCCCTACCCAGGGATCAAACCTGGGCCTCCTGCATTGCAGGCAGATTCTTTCCCTCTCAGCCATTGGGGAAGCCCTGCTGTGAAGAATGGTATATAGTTAATGCTTTGTTTTTCTCAAAGGGAAATAATTACAAGCAGTTTTAAAAGTTAACCAATTCTAGGGACTTCCCTGGTGGTCCAGTGGTTAAAATGCCAAGCTTCCACTGCAAGGGGCACAGCTACAATTCCTGGTTGGGTAACTAAGATCCTGTATGCTGCAGTGTAGCCAAGAAAAAAAAAAAGATAAATCTTTTTAAAAGTTGACAAGTTCTATTCTAATTTGGCATTATGAAAAGTTAGGATACCATGTAATATATTTTGTCAAAAATTTCCCTAGTCTTTAGAAAGGTTGTAGGCTGTAAAACAGGGATGTGAAAAGTTCTGTTCTTTTATTATGCTTTCAAATTTGGAGGGAAAACCCAAAATTTGCCAGTGGATCTAGTGAGCTGTCTTTCATGTTGCAAAGTGAAACTTCAGATGTATAGTTACTCTTATGATGATGAAGGAATTAAGTCACTGGAGTCATCCCATGGCCAGGTTCCCCTCATTTTCACAGTTGATGGGGTCAGGCCCTGTGTTTCTGGCTGCCCGCTTTGTCCTGTGGGCTGACAAATAAGGGCAGGCACAGAGGAGGAGGAAGGGCTGGATCAGGCCTTTTCTTCCAGTGGCAGTCGTTGGATGCCTTGAGGTAAATCCTCCACCACATGCCACACTGTGACTCACTGTCCTTTCCTGGAAAGTCCCTGGTTTTGTTGCGCTTTGTCTCTGGATGTGGAACTTTGGAAGTTGTCGTGGAGAGTTTGTTTACTTGGCTCTCAAATTAAACACTAGGTTTAGCTGCATGAGAAATTGTTATCGATTTTTTTTTTTTTTTTTGGTGCTTGTGAAATGGAACTTTCTGTTCAAATGTTGTTTATTGATAATGTCTTTGATTGACTTCAGAATCCCACCTTCCAAATAGGAAGCACCATCCCTAGGAATGGCTTACAATTTAGCCTTACTGTTTAAAGGAATTGTGTTGGACCTGCCATCAATCCCCTTCTGCAAAATCAAGCTCCTGAAAGTGTTCCTTTTTCTTCCTTGCTTCCATCTATAGTGTGTGTGTATGAATGTGATTTGCCTAAACTATTTTGTGGTTCCCACTCCCTTCTATGGTATGTAGTAGTACAGTAATTGAACACAACTTTTGAAATAATTGTGTAAGCAAGGTAGTTGCTTATGACTTTAATTTCCTGTTTATAGTTCCTCTACCCACATGTTGAAAGTCACCCTCAACCAGAGAATCATCTGTTACTGCTTTCAGAAGAGAAATGTAAGTATATCTTTAGGTTTTTTGTAGGGACTTCATGAACAGCTTATCTCCTAGTGAAGCATAGGATGCGATGAAGCTTCTAACTGTGCACTTGCCAGTCCAACAGTCCACTGACTTTGATGTTCATTGGAGATCTAGGACTCCTGTGGAAGGACTTTCTCTCTGCCTCACTTGTTGTTCTCTTGGGCTCTGTCTCCATATGTAATGGGCTTCTGCAAATTTGAATTTCCAGTTTGGACACATGGTAGAATGTTTGTAGAACAGTCATTTTTGTCTTCTTTAGTCCATCCTTCTTTAGGATGTCTGTCACAGTTGAAACTATAATGTAAGGAGAGAGGCTTGGATGGACAGAGGGAATGGCATTGGAAGCTAGAAGAAATCCATGACAGAACTCGAGGATACATAGTGACTTGGTCAAATTCAGGTAGAGGCAGATAAGATTGGGACATCCTTTAATGATAATTTCAAGTAGAAGGAGGGATGGACAAAATTCACTGGTGGATCTTATCTAGGAAGCCGCCTCTTTTGTTATGAGGTGAAGCAGCTTATTTGTAATTGGAGGGACAAGACTGAAGATTTAGTTTGTGTTCACTTCCTATACTCTTGCCCAATTATGTATCTCACATTTTTGTAACTAGAACCAGTAAAAGATACATATGGCTCATTGTAAACTGCTTACTGAGAAGAAACGGTCCATATATACATCAATAAAGTGTTTATCGTGTTCTGTTAATGACCCCTGTAAAAATACCTCCCCCTAATATCTGGCATAATGAGTTTTCTATATGATGTTTTCATATAAAGAGGTATTTGGTATTTGGAAATCAAAGATAAACCCTGCCAAATGAGTCCTTATTAGCCCTATATAAGACTGATGGTACTGGGGAGGGAAACCCTTGTTCAGCTAACCTAGGGGAGTAGCAGAGTTAAATGTTTCATGTGTTGTTGGTATTGAGGAGCAGAGTAAATGCTGGACTTGAGACAGACTGTAAAGGGAGGGTGGAAAAAGGTGGGTTTTTGTTTTGAATCTTTCTTGTGAGATTGCCATCTGTGATAGTACTAGTTTTCAGCCAGTTGTTTAATCTGCTTTGCTTTTATATATAAAAAAAGTTCACAATTGTTGGGTGAAAAAAAGTACTCATATTTTTCATGAAGGTTAAACTGTCTTTCTGTTTTCTTTTTTAAAAGATATTGAACAATTTCGTATCCAAGTTGTCCAAGAGGATGGAAATCGAGTGGTAAATATTTGAAATTCCCTTTGCTTCAGAGTTTTTTCCCATAAAGAATAGCATTTCTAGACTATTAAGGATGTATTAATGTTATAGAAACATTCTACTTTATTTGGTGTCATTCAAGTTATAGATTTGTTGTTATAACATGTGAAATAATATAAGATACATGAAGGAGTTGATTATCTCCTTCATATCTTTCTCACCGCCACCCCCCAATCAGTCTCCTGAGATAACTAATGACAGCCTTGTGTGAAGTTTCCATGCCTTGTACCTTGCTCAGGGTTAGGTGCACAGATACTGGGATTTAGTTGCTTTTACTAAAATAGATTCATAGTATAAATATTAATTTGCTGCCTTTGCTTTTGCTTAATATATCAGGGGTATCCCTGTAGGTTTCTAAACAGAGATATGACTTCTTTCTCTTAATTTGTATACACGTATACATATACATGCATATAGTAAATGAGATCATAGCATATATGCTGAGGTTCCATAGAGTTCAGTTTTCTTTTCTTTTTTGCTTGTTTTCCACATCCCCTTTGACTCTTCACCTCTAACTTTTGTTCACAACCATGTGTATTGTGTATCTTTTCATACTTTTCTCCATACCTCTGTGTCTCACATCTCCACCCTGATACACCCAGGGGTTTGTTTATTATTCACTCTTTCCTTAGTCAGCTTTATGGAATTACTGCCGAGCAACCTAAGGTAGTTTAGTTCATTGCCTTCAGAAGTGCAGACAGTCCCTGGCATGGATGTACACAGTTTTGTCACCATTCTTCCATGGATGGATATTGACTTGATTGCCTTTTCCCCCCTTTTATTTGTTTACGGTACAAATCATTTCAAATGTTTTTAACTTTACATGTTTGGTACACGTTTCTTTGGATTAAACCCTCAGGGATGGCTAAGTGGGTTGATGGTTATATGCATTTAATAAACTTCAACACATTTTGCCAGATTACATTCCAAAAGACTTGTAACAATTTAGTTTTGCAAGCAAAACATAAAAGTACCCTTTCCCTCTATCCATACCAGTAATAGATGTATTTCCCTTTTTAAAAAATCCAGTTTGATGGGTTTAAGTTGTTATCATTATTATTTGAGTTAGTATTTCCTTTAATATTGTTGAGTTTGAACATTTTCTACGCTTATTGCCTATGTGAATTTATTTTTCTGAAAATTGTTTAGTTATATTCTTGTCTATATTTTTGCTAGGTTGTCTTTTTTCTTGACAGCTTTTGTGATATTACTGATATTAAAATGATTTCCTTCAATATTTAAACAGTCTACATCAAAACACTTTCTCTGATTTTAATTTTAAATTATGTGAACAAAATTGAAATGAGAAATGGCATTTGTTAATTGTGTATCTATGATTGAAAGCCTCAAATCAAGAGGCCTGGCTGGGAAATGACCAGAAAGTGTGTGACTAGAGCTCTGGGGCCCAGATGGATGGGAGGGCAAAGACAAGGCCAATGGTTGGAAATGGTCAGGCCAGAGAGGAAGGACCAAGGTGCAAAATCCCAAAACCATCAGTGAGGGTTTGGAGGTAGTTAAATAAACAAATTGGAGTCAGGAACTGGAAATGGATACAGACAGAGGACTGCTGGTCAGAAGAGGGGTTGGGAGTCATGAGAGACATTGCTGGGAGAGTGAGGCCAGGAGGCAATTGTCAGAAGCCCAGGAAGGATTCTCCTGGCCAAGATGATGCAGCCCCAGCACACCTTCATCCACGTGTGCCCTTCTGTGAGGCACTGCTAACATCCCTATACAACAGCCCTATAACAACCTATAACCCCTATAACAACCCCTAACATCCCTATATAAAAGCGATGGTATTATATTTATCCCAGCGTTTTCAGGAAACACAACAATGTAGCCTCACACAGGTAAGGTAACTCTGGAGAGGGAAGAACTGCTGTATGAACCTGGATTGCCATCAGATGGAAACAAGATGAGTTTCCCAAAGTTAAGAGTCAGATAAGTACTCTTGGATCTTTTTCCAGAAAATGTGATGGAACCAGGCAAACAGAAATAAAAGTGTATGATTCTGCTTGCCCTGTGCCTCCCTTGAGTTCCGACTTAGCCTCAGAGGAGAAATCCCATTTGAGATGAGAGAGGGTTTAGGTACAAATATGGATCATTCTGATGGTCCATCAGACCATCAAAAAAAGGTCTATCCCTTCTTTCCCTCATTCTCCTGCATCAGCTTGTCTTTGTTCTTCATTTACCTGTCCCGGTATAGTTAGCTTTTGCTTGTTGAGCATTTTGAGGAAAATGAACTCTTCATTCCTTGTATTACATTTAGCATTTCTTTGTCAATTTACCCTTGCGTACCTTATTTCCTTTCCCTTCATTTAACAAGTATTTCTTGAGTACCACTACATACTAGAAACAGCAAGTCATTGAAAATATAAAGGTGTTGTAGAAGAGTGCATACTCATTGAGGTAGACTTACAGCATTAATTAAAGTATAAATGTGATAGAAGCATGCCAAAGTGACATACAAATACAGAGATGGGGAGCTTTGCCTTCATACTGGGAGGTGAAATTGGGCTTTGTACAGGAGGCAATGCCTCAGCTGGGTCTTGAAGGATGAATAATTAAGTATTGCTGAGAAATGGGCAGTATCATCATACTCATTGTAGAAGATGGACAGGTAAGAACCATGACCAAAGCCACATGAAGGGTTTATGGCAGATCTAGGATTGTTGCCCAGTACTCCCCTCTCCTTGAATTTTCCCTTGTTCTCACAGTTAACCTTTGGTACTAAAGCCCTCTAGACTGCAGATAATTGCGTATGTTATGTCCAAAACAGGAAGCTTTGAATCTTCTATTTGCCTAGCTGTTGATTTGTGATAGATATGGCCTTGCCTTCAACAGCCCCAGCCTGTCTGTCTAACTAAGAACAAGAAAAAAATAGTTTATTGCAGAGTGTTGTGAAGAGCAAGTAATGAAATGATACCTTAAATCTTTTTTGGAAAGAGTTTCCATGTGTATATGTTGGAGGTAGGGGGCAACTAAAAATAAACCGTGGAAATATTTACATGTATTATAAAGATAGACTATTCAAAATAATTATGAAACCCAGATATGTTCTTTTTTAAAACAGTTATTTATTTCTAAAATCTCTTTGCCTCCTTAGGTAATTAAAAATTCTGGCCATCTCCCAAGAGAGAGAGTAGCCGAAGATTTTGTTTGGGCTCAGTGGGATATGTCAGAGCAGAGATTATACTATATTGATCTGAAGGTAAAAACTAGTCCACTGGCTTTCTTTTTTATGGGAGTGTTTTAATTTTGAATTATCATTATTGTAATTTATTAATTACTTCATTTTCATTGATGAGAGCAGTCAGTCAAAGTTTATTACACATAATGAAGATTTTCATTACTGTTTACTTTTTGGTTGCTTCCTTTTCTCTCTCTCTTTAGTGTTTGTTTTCTTAATTTGTCACTTACTCTGTTTTGTCTTTTAGAAATCAAGGAGTGTCTTAAAATGCATCCAATTTTATGCTGATGAGCACTTTAAGTTAATGGTAAGTCCAGAAAATGATTGGGTTATATGGTGAAATTTTATAGCCATTTTGTGATTTGTGTGAAAGTCGCTCAGTCGTGTTTGACTCTATGACCCCATAGACTATACAGTCCATGGAATTCTCCAGGCCAGAATACTGGAGTGGGTAGCCTTTCCCTTCTCCAGGGGATCTGCCCAACCCAGGGGTAGAACGCAGGTCTCACACATTGCAGGTGAATTCTTTACCAACTGAGCCACAAGGGAAGCCCTTATACTAACCATTGCTCCTTTTTAATGAAAGTTATCATAAAGAGCATTTTAGCATTCTTCATCATGTATTAATAGCTTGTATGAGCAAGTAAGATAGTTCCTTCCAGCTCAAAGCTTCAGCTTTATAGTAAATGCAATTAATATAAGTGATTAGAAAAGCACACATAGGGAATTTCTGCCAATTGAATGCTTCACAATAAAGAAGCATGGTTAAGAGTGAGGGTTAGTAGAAGGTAGTATTTAGTAGGAGGTAGTATGTGGTAGGTGTGCTCAGTAGTACGTGATTACACGTCGTTTGATCCAAAAGGATGTGTGAGGATGGTGGATTGAGTCTAAAGTTGATGAGAGGATATAGTTTAATTAGTAAAAATCTAGAATCACTCCTGGAAAAGTATTTGGACTGTAGTGAGAAGTATCTTTGTAGTGAGGAGTCATAAGTATCTTTATCTGTGATGGACAGAACATTATTATTCTTCCTGGTTAGGATTAATATTGGTGTCTAATGCAGATTGACATCATACCATTATAAGAAGTTCATTTACTCCTCCTGCCCCCACCCCCTGCCTTTTGGACTCACACTCATTCTCTTTCTAAAGATACCATTCCTTCCCTCCCTACACAATCGTCTGTGTCCTATAAAAGCCTACTCCTTCCAATTGACTTATTACACAACCCATCTATGGTAGTCAAATCTGAAGCTAAATCTTGATGTATATTTATGATTGATAAATATACACCAAACTTGTGATTTATGTAGACTCCAGAAAATTCCCAGTGCACTTTCTCTATGTGGACTTGTGAAATAGCCTCTGAAGATAATGCTAGTTAAAGGAGCTCTTCATCATTATGTAAACATAGTGTCATCAGGTTTGCTCTGGTTTCCAGAACTATCATCACTTAACTAATGTCATCTTTTCCTTTGTTATCACTTGATTTTTTGACAGTTTGAAGCACCCTTGGATATATCATTAAGTGACTCAGGATTCAAGTAGGTTACTCCTAAATTATTATTATTTTCTTATAGACACTTCTGGACAGAATGATTATATTTAAACATAATCTGTGATATACTGCTAAAAGGATAATTTGATGTTCTGTTTGTGTGAGGGAGTGTTTGTCATCTTTTCAGTTTCTGTTTTCTATAGGAAATATAAACAGTGTTACCAAGTATAAACACAGGGTTTTTCCATGTAAAGGCAATCATATTGATTTTCTTAACCATTTATTTCTATAGGGTATCTTCATTTTTTTGATCTGTGGAAGGGCTCTGTAATTCAATAAAAAGATTCAGAGTCAGAGTCAGAAAGCTCTGTGTTTAGAATGAAGCATCAGAACCCTTTTCTTGTTGCCATCAAAGAGGATGTCTCAGGTCAATCCATTTATAGCTCAGCTGAGTCTATTGCTTTCCCCTGTTTTCATTTTTATACAAAAGGCAAGATTTCCCTCCCCCCCCCCCCCCAGGCTGTTTTACATTTGGTAAAAACAGGAGCTGCTTTTGAAAAAATAGGCTCAGAGCCATCAGTGCACAGAAGAAAGTCTTCCTGAATTAATGATAATTGCAAAATGCTGCATTTCACTAGCTTTATTTGATCATATATGAATATTCAGTTCTGTTTATTTTGAAATGTAGCATCAACATTATTCTAAAACTAGACAAAAGTTGAAATATTGTGTATTCTTTTCCCTATTGCCAGGACCATGCCATTTATATCCCATGTATTTTAAAAAATTACTGTTTTTTAAAAAATAATTTTATTTATTTATTTTTTGGCTGTGTTGGGTCTTCACTGCCTTGTGGGCTTTTCTCTAGTTGTGGCAAGCGGGGACTATCTCTAGTAGCGTCTCATTGTGGTGGCTTCTCTTGTGGGGCACAGACTCCAGGGCACGAAGACTTCAGTAGTCGCAGTTCCTGGGACCACAAGCTCAGTATTTGTGGCACATGGACTTAGTTGCTGTCTGCAGCATATGGGATCTTCCTGGACCAAGGATTGAAAAATTATTGCTTTACTTATTTGTTTTAACAAAAAGACATTATCTACTTAAATTTCTCAGAGACATGTGGATAAATTATAGTGGTTACTCACATCTTTTATGAGGGAACTTATTTGTAAATTCTTATCCTTTATGTTCTTAGACTTGTCAACTTTGGATATAGTGATCTTCAGGACCAAGAGGAATTATCCAAACGCCTGACCTTATGTGTTTTTACCAACCATACAGGTAGAACCAGGTTGTATTTGTCAATTTATTAAATTTTACTTGAGTTCCATATATTTAGCCATTGTTCAACTATATGGATCCTGAACATATAAGTGATCATGTGAATATTTACATACCAAATTAACTTCTCCACTGTTTTATACATTTGCTGTCTGTATAAAAGAAGCCACAGTCCAGCTATTGTTCTAAAACTTTTTCTTTGTATTATTTCTCTAGTAGAGGGGATGGGTTCGTATTTAATCAAGCTACATTTTCTCACCTGCTTCGATTTAAAGAAATGACATACAATGAGAGGGATGCTTTTTGTGTCTGGCTTACTGATTTTGGAGTTCTAAACCCATGTGATTTGTTACTTTCAGAGCCATGCTATAACCTACTGAGCTGACAATCAAATCTTCACATACAAGTTATGAGTGTACAGTATTCCATCTCTTAAGACCTGTTTATTATAGATAGAAAAAGTAGGGAGGGGGGAAAATCATGTCTGAAAATGAGAGGAGAGCAGTATGGTTACGGTCAATGAATCTCATGAAAAAACTGCTCATTAACTTTAATAATCATCTAAGTAATCAACTCTAATAACTAAATCTAATAGCCATATTTAATACCCCAACTTGAGTGGACAGTCACTATTAGAGTTAAGTAGCGCTTGGACTAAAGTTACATTCATTTAAAGCCATATTATATAGTATTCATTGAGCTGACCCTTACGGAGCATTAATAGAAAGTTACTACTTAGTATGAATGTTGGACATTAAGTACGTGCACACGTAGTATTTGAATAGAACCCTGGTGCATTTTATGAATGAGAATTCTAGGAAGCCATGAGAGCATATAGTGGAGGTTTAATAGAAGATACTGTTATAGTATGTTCAAGTATGTTCTACTTCAGCCAATGCATTCTTAGTCCTGAAAATTGCTTCCTTTTCCACCTCACTCTTTCAAAATGCTTCCCATAGTTTTCTCTCCATTTAGGGTCTCCTTCAGGCCCACAAGTCCCTCTATAAACCAGTATTGGGAAATTTAGGGCAGGAAATAATATTTCCCTTGATACTTGAAGGATGTATGTAAGCTAAGAACAGGGTGACTAGTTGCAGTAAAGTGAGCAATAGGAAAAGTATTGGGAGAGAGAGCTGAAGAGGTAGGCAGGGGCCCGGTCATGTAGGGCCTCGCAGACCATGGAAGGATTTTAGCAAGAGATGAGGGTGGCTTCTCCTGTGTTGTTGGAAGAGGGTGTTTGCTATAACCAGTGTGTTCTCTTGGCAAAGCTGCTTCATTCTGTACTCCAAGGCCAAATTTGCCTGTTATTCCAGGTATCTCTTGACTTCCTACTTTTGCATTCCAGTCCCCTATAATGAAAAGGATATCTTTCTTGGGTGTTAGTTCTAGAAGATCTTGTAGGTCTTCATAGAACCATTCAGCTTCAGCTTCTTCAGCATTACTGGTTGGGGCATAGACTTGGATTACTGTGATGTTGAATGGTTTGCCTTGGAAATAAACAGAGATCATTCTGTTGTTTTTGAGATTGCACCCAAGTACTGCATTTCAGACTCATGTTGACTATGTGGGCTATTCCATTTCTTCTAAGGGATTCTTTCCCACTGTAGTAGATATAATGGTCATCTGAATTAAATTCGCCCATTCCAGTCCATTTTAGTTCACTGATTCCTAAAATGTTAATGTTCACTCTTGCCATCTCCTGTTTGACCACTTCCAATTTGCCTTAATTCATGGACCTAACATTCCAGGTTCCTATGCAATATTTTCTTTACAGCTTCAGGCTTTACTTCCATCCCCAGTCACATCCACAACTGGGTGTTGTTTTTGCTTTGGCTCTGTCTCTTCATTCTTTCTGAAGTTATTTCTCCACTGATCTTCAGTAGCATATTGGGCACCTACCGACCTGAGGAGTTCATCTTTCAGTCTCCTATATTTTTGCCTTTTCATACTGTTCATGGGGTTCTCAAGGCAAGAATGTCGAAGTGGTTTGCCATTCCCTTCTCCAGTGGACCACGTTTTTGTCAGAACTCTCCACCATGACCCGTCTGTCTTGGGTAGCCCTTGGGTAGCTCATAGTTTCATTGACTTAGGTAGACAAGGCTGTGGTCCTTGTGATCAGATTGGTTCGTTTTCTGTGATTGTGGTTTTCAGTCTGTCTTCCCTCTGATGGAGAAGGATAAGAGGCTTATGGAAGCTTCCTGATGGGAGAGTCTGACTGAGGTGGAAACTGGGTCTTGTTCTGAGCCATACTCAGTAAATCTTTAATCCAATTTTCTGTCAATGGATGAGGCTGTGTTCCCTCCCTGTTACTTGGCCTAAGGCCAATCTATGGTGGAGGTAACAAAGATAATGGCGACCTCCTTCAAAAGGTCCCATGCACACACTGCTGCACTCAGCGCCCCCAGCCCTGCAGCAGGCCACAGCCGACCCACGCCTCCGCCAGAGGCTCCTGGATACTCACAGGCAAGTCTGGGTCAGTCTCTTGTGAGTTCATGGAATTCTCCAGGCCAGAATACTGTAGTGGATAGCCTTTCCCTTCTCCAGGGGATTTTCCCAACCCAGGGATCAAACCCAGGTCTCCTGCATTGCAGGTAGATTCTTTACCAGCTGAGCTATCAGGGAAGCCCAAGAGAAGACAGAAGAGAAGACTCTACACATGGACATCACCAGATGGTCAACACCAAAATCTGATTGATTCTATTCTTTGCAGCTGAAGTTGGAGAAGCTCTATACCGTCAGCAAAAACAAGACTGGGAGCTGACTGTGACTCAGATCATGAACTCCTTATTGCCAAACTCAGACTTAAATTGAAGAAAGTAGTGAAAACCACTAGACCATTCAGGAATGACCTTAATCAAATCCCTTATGATTATAGAGAGGAAGTGATAAATAGATTCAAGGGATTAAATCTGATAGAGTGCCTGAAGAATTATGAATGGAGGTTCATGACATTGTACAAGAGGCAGGGATCAAGACCATCCTCAAGAAAAAGAAATGCAAAAAGGCAAAATGGTTCTCTGAGGAGGCCTTACAAATAGCTGAGAAAAGAAGAGAAGCAAAAGGCAAAGGAGAAAAGGAAAGATATTCCCATTTGAATGCAGAGTTCCAAAGAATAGCAAGGAGAGATAAGAAAGCCTTCCTCAGTGATCAATGCAAAGAAATTGAGGAAAACAATAGAATGGGAAAGACTAGAGATCTCTTCAAGAAAATTAGAGATACCAAGGGAACATTTCATGCAAAGGTGGGCTCAATAAAGGACAGAAATGGTCTGGACCTAGCAAGCAGAAGATATTAAGAGGTGGCAAGGATACACAGAAGAACTATACAAAAAGGTCTTCACAACCCAGATAATCATGATGGTGTGATCACTCACCTAGAGCCAGACATCCTAGAATGTGAAGTCATGCAGGCCTTAGGAAGCATAACTATGAACAAAGCTAGTGGAGGTGATGGAATTCCAGTTGAGCTATTTCAAATCCTAAAAGATAATGCTGTGAAAGTGCTGCACTCAATATGTCAGCAAATTTGGAAAATTCAGCAGTGGCCCCAGGACTGGAAGAGATCAGTTTTCATTCCAATTCCAAAGAAAGGCAATGCCAAAGAATGCTCAAACTATTGTACAGTTGCACTTATCTCACACAAGTAAAGGGTCAAAAAAAGGGAGGAGGTTTAGGAATTAGATCTGGACATAAATATACAAACGTTGTGTAGATCATTCAAAGAAAAAGGAAGGAGTATGGGGAGACAAGAGGGAAACCAAGTGAGATGTTATAGCAGCCAAGAGCCAAGGGGATTTATAAAAAAGAGTGACTTTTAGTAGGTGGTGAAAAGTGGAGCCCATTAGGTATGGCTGCATGGAAGTTACTGTGTGTAGTTTGTGCTGGGTGATTGAGGTAAAATCTTGATTGTGCTGGGTGAAATCTCATGTGAGAATTGAAAAATTATAGCAACATGTGCATGCGTAAGAGAGGCAGCAGCTGGATGGGGAAGTGGGATTGTGGGGACATTATTTTTTGAGATGGTAGAGACTGTAGTATGTTTGAATGCTTATAGGATATTTAGTGGAAAAGAAAAGATGACAATATACAGCAGAGAGAAATAACTAGTAGAGTGAATTTGCTTAGAAGGTGGGATGTAATGGGATCCAGAGCTCATGTGGTGCCCCCAGGCTGGTTCTTCCCTGCTACTTAGTTTAAATCTGTTGGATATAAACAATCATTTTAGGTTTTTATTCTGTGAAGCTTTTATTCCTTTTTATTTTATTACCACAGGAATTTCTCACATATATTAGTAGTTCATAAATAGGCTATCTATGACATATCTTAAGAAATGTTAGGTTAATTTGGCAAAAGATGTGAAAGAGCCTGTTTTTCCTTGTCCAGGAGTCTTGCTTTTCAAAGTCAGCTTTGAAATCGAAAAAATAAGCCTGTTTCAAATGGGATGCTTTCAGATTTAAGATGAAATAAACCAAAAGAAGCACCCTTTTTATTTTCAACTCATAAGTTGTCAGTTCATGTATTTCCCAAATTACTTTTCAAAAACAGCTTTTGAAACTGTGATTAAAACAAACAAATACCTACTTCAGCAAATGGAGAAAGGCTCAAATTGTCTAATCCCTATATGGCTCCCTCTATAATAAGGAGCTTAGTTTTCCACTGGTGTGGAGAATAGAAAACATGGTTCTTGAAAGAAATGCCAATGGACTCAGGACCTTTTACAAACTCTACTTATTTCAACTATTACATTCATGCTGATGCTGTAATAACATTTGTTGTTCAGTTGTTCCATATTGGTCATTGAGAGCTACTTTGACCTTTCACCATCACTTCTTACCTGAATTTTCCTGCCCTAAGAAATGAAATGTGCTACCTTTCAGAGATTTAAAGGTTAAAATCTCAAAGATAAGGCTGATCATAAGAGTTAGTGGTGGGCAACAGTGCTCTGTTAATGTCAGACCACTGATTTATTAGGATTATGAGTTCCTATAGTTTTTTCTAATA